CATGAGGTTCCCTCCCGGGTTCTAGCCAAGGGGCCGCTTGGAACAGCCGGGCTGGCTCGGCTGTGTGGTCTCGCGCTCGGGCGCACAGCTCCAGGCCTGGCCGGCGCTTGGCTGCCGGGGGAGGGTGAGTTCTTTCACTGGCTGCGCCTGGCGCGCTGGGAGCTGCCTCCGGGAAGAAGGACCGGGCATGGGACGAACGGACCCAGAGGAATTGTTCGCTACTGCTCCCCCGGGACCCCGTTCCCTCCGGCCCCAGGTCTCCAAAAACGCGGGGCGGAAGGGAAGGAGCGCTGTGGCCTTAGCGGAGAATCAGGTCGGAGGCGCGCAGGTAACACCAGGTTGGCTCCGCGAACTCCTCTCTTCCCCTCTCGGCCTGCGACGTCTCTTTTTGCAGTTTCACTCTGGAATTAGGAAGCGTGCTAACACGAGCCCAAACAGAAATGGCCTTCCAGCACTTTCGAGTCTGTTGTAAAGAGGTTACGTAAAGAGTTTCTCTCTGCTGGTCTCCTGCCCTTTGTCTTTGAGCAAACGTGTACAATTAGCTGGTGGCGTTTTGGAAATTATAAGGAGACGTCTCCATGTCTCTCTAGAGATTTTAAAAAATGCGTTAGGCTCAGGGCGTGAATCGGGAGGGGTGTAAGGCAGAAGGGCCGTGAAATGCCTGTTTCACTCAACCCTTAGCCAGGTGTGTTTATCCGATCCTTTCTCTCAGAACAGCCTGGAGAGGCAAGAGTGCTGGCTGAGACTAGGTAACCCTTTCCAGTAGGTGGTTACACGTTCCCGTCACCTTCCAGGCTCCCTGAAACAAAGTCGCAGCGAGGCGACGAAGAACCCCCACACTTCGCCCAAAGCTGCTAAGTAGCTAGCGATTCCTTATCTAACGCGGCTGCCAGTTTCATCTGAAAAGGCCCACAGACCCAAGCAGCAGCAGAATAGGGGTAGTTTCGGTGTCCTGTTGCCTCCAGTAAAGCCGCTGGGTTAGGAAACTCCTTTCTTTGTATCTTTCGCCAGATCTCACCCTTGATAAGCGCCGGAGCCCCCGGCCGCCCGGCTCGGTTGGCTGGATAGGCTTCCCCGGGGCTCAGGGAGAAGCCGAGACGCCTGAGTTTCGCCGGATCTTGCTGAGGCTTTATCAAGGAACTTGCGTCGGTTCTGTTTTGTTTTCTCTCAAGGAAGACCTCTCGCTGGATCTCATCCCTTTTATTGTTACAATGTAAGTTATGTCAGAGTGTGTGCGCGAAACCGAAAGTCAGCCGGATGCACGGAGGTGGATACATTTACCAGATTTTTGGTTTTGGTTTTCGGTTATAGTTTCTAGTGCCTGGTATTGTATGCAGGGAGCCTTTTGTCAGCTGCTGCTGCAGAACTGATGCTGATCATCACAACGTGAAGCGAGTCTTCCCAGTGTAGGGGCATGTTTCCTGTGTAGATAACCAAGTTGACTCTAGTAAAAAAAAAAAAAAAAAAGATACCACTGTAAGGCCAGAAAGTAAATAGAGGATTTTAACCAATCATATTCCATCCTGCCACCTTTATAACACGGAATTAAACTACAGAAGCTGCTGGCTTATATTCGAAATTCGCAAAGCACCCTCGCTCACCATCCATCTTCCTCCAGACCAGCCACACAGTGTGGCTTCCTAACTCCCTAAACTAATGAGCTATTCCAAAGAATTATTGCTGATGTCGATAGCAACTCCAAGTAGAAAAGCCGGCATCTATCTTGGAGGAAAACCGTTAGGAATGGGCAAGTTCATCATGATGTGAAGACAATGTTTTGCTTGCCTCAGCCCACTGTTACTGTAAACAAGTGTTTTCTTAATAAGTTCCTGGGCCCACAGATGTGAAAATCAAGCCGATGATCTCCCCTTGTCCAAGGGGGGCAATTTGAGAGAACCCGGTAATTATGTTGTTTCATGATGGATGTGCTCTGGAGTTGTGTCTGTTGATAATACATTTTGCATTAAAATCAAAGTTTGGATAGCAGGTATTATTGGTTCACTTCACCTTGAAATTCAGATATCACAGATTGTTCCCGTTTCCTTAGCTGGTATGTGCATTTAATGCATTAAATATATTTGTAAAATTTTTTTGTAATGTTTTTATAGAATATACCAAGTAGTGATTAGCAGTATCCCCCCCCTCCCCCCAGTATTTGGTCACAGGAGCGACCTCTTGTGTTCAAAGGGGGATTAGACCCTCTCCTCAAAAATGGACTCCTTTTGACCTTTGAATATCCTGTAGGTTCAGAAATACATCCTTCAAGACAGCAGTGGTGTGGATGCCCTGGTGTGAGCTCTTTTACTGATGAGAAAAAAATAAAAAAAAAAAAATGAGTAGTTATTAAGTATAGTTCCTGTTACTTCCAGGCCACCCAAATATACTTTACAGTGCCTCTGAATATAAAAGAGGTGCTAAGATTTAATAAGTTCCTCTTGGGTCTGTGGCATCTGCCCACGTGCGCCTTCCAAAATGCGGCTGTTACACCCAAAAACTCCTGCTGAGCTCTTATGCCTGCATTTTTGTGTGCTGTTGTTTTCTCTGTTTCAGTTAAAATAGAAAAATTCCACATTCGGACTTAGTGCTCGATACAGGTGCCTGAAAAAATATGTTCTCAAGATACTTTTCGAAAATCTAAATAGGTTTTCATTGCAATTGAAAAGTAGCGTTACACATTGAGGGTTGATTTATTCCCCAGCAGCCTCTGGCAGACATAAGTGAGTTTGAAGTTGGTTCTTTGGAAAATTGTGTACAGAGAGGGAGAAAGCTTTTCCCTCCCCGATTTTTCAAGAAGGGGATGGGAAGGGGGCTTTCGCCCGCTTTCCCTGAACTGGGGGTGTGTTTGGGAACTGATTCCCAGGGACTTGGTGCTCTGCTTAGCTCACGTCAGAATCAGTTTGAAAGAGCAGAATCACAATTGGGATGCCAGTGTCCATAAGTGAGGTATTCGGACGGAAACAAATTAACCGGACGATTTATGTTTTCTGATATCCCAAGTGTGTAATTTGCAAGGGGGGGGGTGTCAAAATGAAACAAACATTTTATTTGCCTCAGGAAACAGGTATAGAATATATCCCAGACTCCCTTCTTTTTATTTTTTTCTGTAGTCTAATCATGTAGGCAGAATAAGACTATATAAAGCATTAGTGTCTTAAATCAGTCCAAGAGTCAGATAAAATTTTACCCGTTTAAAGGAAGTCACGATTAACCATTTATACTCCACCCCCAAGGGCGGCGGGTGCTTGGAGCTAATTTGTCTCTTCCAGGTTTATTGTTGGTGGCTTATTGAGGGCGAATCAAGAAAAATCTGTGCTCTATTTTCAGATGAGAAAAAAAAAAGAAGGGATCTTCTCTGTACCATTGGGTATGGAAGGATATTTTTCTTTTGCTCTCTGTTTACATGTTTGTTTGTTTTTTTAAAGAATACTAAGTAATGATAATAATAAAGGCGGTTGTTAACCACAACAAACCTGCCGTCCTGATTCTCATTTTATTGCCCAGGACTCCTGCGGCGGTGGTGGTTTTGTGGAGTGTCAATTGCTTTATTAACCAGTTAAAACAATCTGGGTGAATGAGCAGGACCGCTCTGCTCGCGGGGCTGCGCAGCCGGGGCTGGGGAGTGGGGT